TATACATGAGCAGTATTTACGTAGTATCGGTGTCAAGACATACCTCTCAAATACTGTAAATCAAGTTAAAAATATCTCAAGACCGATTCTGGTCATAATGAAACCATGTTTCGTGTATTTTTTTTTTTAAGTACCGAGACCAGCCATATACTGTATGTTTATGTTCCAAAATTAATATCGTTTATGGCCTTCACATGCTTTGCAGTATGCTCCTATGCGCATAAGCCATCTGGCCGAACAAACACTCGGCCACCCAACCACGGCTGGCGCCGCTCACACCCTGGGATCTCATGGCCCTCACCAGACTCCCAACGCTGCCGTAACTCCCCGATTCCCTAGGTTTATAATAAAGCGCACTCAACCCAGTGGAAGACATGGTCCCCTTCCGAACCAATACACGCTTTCACACGCATAAATCAAGGGATGCGGTGGCTGGGGCTTTTGGACCCTGTGGCTCCGGACCGACCGGCCGGGGGAAAGCGGGAGTTCTGACCCTTAACGACACACCATTGGCTCCTGAGGGGAGGGAACATGCACCCATAACAACCCACCATTGGCTGGCAAGGGGGCGGGGCATCCACCCACGGCAGACTCCCATTGGCTGAAAAAGGGGGCTTGGCACCTGTCCAAAGTTTGACGAAAGTTGTAGCTTTATATTACTCATGTTTTAAAAAGCCACTATGTGTAATATATTTCATAATGAAAATCTTAAATAAACTATTTTACTAATGATAACATTTAATAAATTAACAATATGTACACTCTATTTTGATTTTATATATCACAGTTTTTTATATATTCACTTTAATTCACAATCTCTTAAGCCCTTAGTGGCAGACCGACCAGGAGAAGATTCAAACTATTGCATCAAAATTTGAAATGTTGACATGTCAGATATTAAACTGAGAATATTAAACTAAAGATGAGGGGCAGGAAATGGTAACTTCATGTATTGTATTGACTCTGCATAAAGATAGCATAAACATTATTCTTTGAAGAAGTGGTTACTTCAAATACCTTTGTATTGCATATTTATTTTGAAAGAATTTAATAAAAAAATTGTTGATTTGAATTATTAATAATATTTATTATTGATATAATATTAAAATATAGTATGTACTGTATAGTATTATAATACTATTAATAGTATTATAGCATTATTCATTATAATTTTAATATTATTCACTATTTAAATTACATGTTAAAAATGGGGAGATTACGAAAATATGAGCATAAGAGAAAATGACAGAGTGGATCAGTAAGTTAAATAAATAATAATAACCCCCAACTTGAGCCTGGGCTAACCCCCGTGTTGCCCCTTTCTCGTGACGCATAGGGTCTTTATTGCTCTCCTTGTCATTCCATGGCTTGCCCTTCCGACATCTGTGATAATACTGAAGCATTCAGTATAGTTAGAGGTATGTGAATTCTTTTTTGTCTGGCACAGCTTTTCTGAAAAGAACAACATTTCAGTCACACGTGCATAAACAAATATTGGTAGCACTTTACAATAAGGTTGCAATGCACAAACTACAATACACATAACATAAACATATAACACAAATGTTTTCCTATTTAAATTTAAAGTTTATAGACAAGGCATTTCAGAGACCTACAGTATGTATAGACCACCTAGAGAACCTAGGAATCCTCAGACTTCAATCAAGTATTCAAAGACATAATGCCTACGAAGGCCTAAAGAAGAAATAAATTGCCTTCTAAATTAAATAGAGTACAACTTATGATTAAATCTCTCTCTCTGCAACCTGGATGCCACAAAATAAAAGGGAAGCTATGTCCCTATTCTAAAACACACCCACTGAGCATGAGAGGCAATTTTGAGCCAAGGATTTCTTCACTCAGGAAATCCATCTTCTCTAAAATCTACAGAACATCAAGCTCTCTTAGCAAGGTTCAAATACTAAGCTCCAATTTGGTCTTCCTGGGTGATCTCAAACAAGGACCTCTCGGCTGGCACATGCGTTATGTTCTGTTTACTATTGCCTCCTCTTTTCTATTTCTGTCCTCTCTCTCTTGTGATGGCTGTTCCTCTTCTCTTGTGATCTAATCTGTTTCTTGTCCTTTGTGTTTGATCCCTACACCTTTGACACAATCATGTATCCAGAACTTATTTAACTAAGGTAAATATTAATTAAAATATTATTTTGATCAGTGTGTCTCACACCTAGCACAACTAAGTAAACATATCTTAGCCTTAAACTCTAGTTGTGGAAATTGAACAATTAAACAATGCCACTCACTTTTCACTGTTTTTTTGTCCCTTGTAAATTTTCAACCCTTTTTCTTTTTCGTTGTCTCCTCCAAAGCTATGGCTCCCCTGCCTTCACCATTTTAAAACAGTCTCATTCCAATAGGAGCCTTCACATTATTTCTGACAGCCTTATTCCAGTCAGCTTCCCCTATTCTAATAGCTGAATCCAAGCCATCCTCTCTGCTGCACTAAGGCAACTTATTTCCATCTCACATTATTAGCAAGGTTCCATTTTCAATCAGCCTGAATTATTATTTTGATGATTTCTCATCAGCCTTTAATACAATGCAGCCACATATTTAGGATGAAAAGCTTATCACACATTTCAAATCTGATCATCAGTTTATCATATGGATCATTAGTTTTCTCTGCACAACTCCACTTAGAGGAATCTTTGTTTTAGAAAAACTTTATTTGCTACCAGTCACTGGTTCCCCCTCCCTTTGTAATTTTAAAGATGCAATCAATTACTTTAAACTAATTGATTTGTCAATAGAGGTTACAAAGTCACCCAGCCACACCCTTGGGAGCAGTTTGAAGTTCTCTACCATATAAAGTGTGTTTGGAGAGCAGAAGAGAAGCCGTTGTTTTGGAAAAATCCTGTAATTATGAGACTGTGCACTATTAATCACTGTGTAACAGTGTTGAATTGATGTTTCAAACATTGCAGCTACTAAAATGTGAATCTGAACCATTTCTGCTTTGTGTTTAACTTAACCTGACTTTATTCTCTGGACTTTGTAACTTAGTTTGCAGAAGTCATTTCTTGTTAAGGACTAACCACACTAAGCAGAATAAAAAGCTTATTTACTTTAAGCTTTCATATTGTGAGGATATATTTGTATTGTAATTACTTTAATTTTTAATTTGTAAAAAAAAGAATACACTGCTGTACTTATAATTATGTATCTTTAAAAAATGTATATTTTTGTTTGTAAAATGTTTACTGTATGTATAAAGGATTTATACATATCCATGAGAATCGAGGTTGGTATAAATGGTCCCTGAGGCAACAGTTTAGTTTTGATTTTGTTAATATTGCAATCTTCACAAAAGTGAACTATGATATAATTTAATTTATAAGTAAACTTTTTATAGGTGATTTGTTGGGGGTGGCAATATAAAAACCTATTCAATTTTAAGGATATGATTTATCCACCCAGTTATAAATAGTTAAGTGTAGACATTGTACACATTTTACAAATGTGTTGTAAAAGACCCTATACAGGATGGTATAATCCGGAAGTGACTGGCGAACAGCATCAGAGAAGACACAGCGAGGAATGGACGGGATAACGAACAGGTGGGTGGTAAAGACTGTGATCCGGTGCATTGGGGGAGTGCAGGCAAATGGGTCCAAAACGAAGTGCAATGGGGGAAAACAGGGTGCAGTCCAAGGTCCAGGTGGTTGGAGATCTAGCTGAGACGAAGACGATTAAAAACTGAAACAGGGAACTGGGACCAGGAACACAAAGGCTTAAAATCATAATGGGGCAAGGCGCTCCAAGTGTCACGCTAATCACTGAGGGGTAGTGGAAAAGGTGATCGGAACCTGTGCGGTGCCGAGGGAATAAGTGTCCAGAAATCCCAAGGTCAAAGGACAGAATACGAGGTTGGGTACCCAAGCTAGGTCGGGTCCCAGTAGTCAGGTCGGTAAGGTTTCCAAATCCAAATCCCCTAAACAGAGACGAAGACGTAGCCGAGGTGAAAACAGGGTCGATATCCAGAAGTCAGTTTAGAAGAATGCGTACAAGAGAAAGGTTAGACAATCTCAACAGTGAGCGAGGACTGAGAGGAGGGAACGGGTTTAAATGGGAAAAAGGGCGAGCACAGTGCTAATTGCTAACTAGGGTGCAGGTGTGTACGCCGAGAGGTGCACGCGGGGTGTGATTAGTGACACCGAGCCCTGGACTCAGTGGTCAGGACGTCCGGGGAAAAGGCCTTGCCCTTGGACTGCTCCTAAGCCCTGTGGATAAGCGGGCCTTCAGACATCTGTCTTCCAAAGCTGAGCCCAGATCTACGGAGAAGCCAGGCTTAAATAAGGAAAGGGAATTGGACACAGCTGGGACAAATAAAGCTGGTGACAACGAAAAAGGGTAGAAGCACCCTCTAGAGGAGGGATGACGATCATGACAGACATGAAGCACATATTGAATGATTCATTACTCAGAAAGTATTGACACAAAAACAATATGAATAAAGTTGCAAAAAGTGCAGTCATTACTAGGAAGCACAAAATGTTACATCTCTTTCTGGTAATTTCAAACAGAATTGTATCCAGCAATAAGAAGTACTAATCACCATTTGAATCATTTTATGATGGGAAGTCTGTAGCCTCTGCACACTTAAATTAACACTTGGCTTCTCAAGACATCCTCACTTGTACCTTTAATTAATTTCACATATTAATCGCCCAACCCTAAGATTGCACAACTGAGGTCCTCAAGGGCTACTATTCAGCCTTCAACTATACCAAATAAATAGGTAATGAGTTCAATTAGGTAATTAAGGGCTAAGGAGACAATGCATATCTATATATTTATCTAATGCATAAAAATGCCTTTGTTTTATTCTTGTACCATGCATTATAATTAATTATGCATATAGCAATAAAACAACTTCAGTGATATCATGATAGTCTGGTCCAACAATGTTGAAGATTGTACTAGCACAACAATTGTGTTGGGTGTTTTTCCTTTCAACTCATCAGAGAGTATATTGATTTCACTGCACTCTGTCAGGTGATGCTGTTGATTTTCCAGCTATTGAATTGAATGAGAAGACCTTGTACTGAAGGTGCCTCCTTCATTCCAACTTCTGTTTTGATTTGGTTGAAATAAAAGGTCAGAAAAGCTACTGAGATGTTAAGACATTACATAATTCAAATGCTTTTCTCTAATTTGTGTAAGTGCACATTTGTATATATTTTAAATAACTGTGCTTATAGGAAGACAGGTTATGGTAAACTGTGTTGTAATTTGGTTATATTTTATGATTGTGTATTTAATTTTATTCTAAATTAGAAATATACTGTATAATTAACAATCTATTTTTGTTCTGACTGCGGCACAATTATTAATATTTTTTATGTTCTGCAGATGTAAAGCCTACAAATTTCATTTCTCAACCTCATCTCTCAATGACAGCACAGCTTGGAGTTATTGTCACTTTGGAGTGTTATATACCTTCAGGCAAAGTCCTTCACTTGGTTTGGTACAAGCAGTCTATTGGAGGGACACCTATCCACATAGCCCCAGCTTATTCCAATTCTGGTGAAGCTACAATGTATGAAGAATTTAAAAATAATCTGCATTTTAAGGTGGAAAAATCAGACAGCAGTTTTAACTTGACCATTTCAAGTCTTGAACCATATGATGTTGCAAGATATTACTGTGGAGCATTCTACTACAGCTACATGAGCTTCGGGAATGGAACCCTTCTGATTATAAAGGGTAAGTTGAACAGCTAATGCTATAAACAATCTTGGTTTTTGAAGACTTCACATATTCAAAAATAAAGGAGATACATATTGTTCATTTACAATGCTCCAGGAAGCTTTTGTAATGATACATTGTATGGGTAAGCCTACTTTCAATTACAGATGATTGATTCAAATAATAACTCAAATAATGCACCAGCCGATGGTAAAAAACATGTAAAAGTGTAAAGTGCTTTAAGAATTCAATTTAATGTAAAACATTTAATTAAAGCATCTGCTTAGTGTACTGGCTTATGAATTTCTCAGGACAAGAGAAATGGTAAAGATAGGATGATGCAGAAAATTAAATTATGTACACATTACAAGTTAAAACAATAATTAAATCAAATATCTTACATCAATACATTTTTGATTATTATTGAAGCATTTGAGGTCTTGTAAGCTTAAATGTTTTTTAAAAATAATATGTAACACTTTCTTCCATAATAATAAGGATATTCTGTTTTTCTTTTTTTTTTCTAAAATAGGATTGTTTTCTAGCCAACAAAATTCTGAAAGCACTCGGACTTTGAGAATAACCTGATTATATATATATTATACATATTCTTATAATTTATGTCACTAATAATAAGAATAACTAAAATACTGCAGTTTAAATTCACACCATTCAATAGATTGTTCAGAATAAAAACTTAAAAAAATAATCAAAATTGCCATACTGTATATCTAGTGAAAATGCTATAAATTACACTATTGAAAATGGGCTATATTACAATATATGGGAGACATGAAAATAACAATATTGTTTATAGCAGGTAATTATTTAGAAAGATAGCACAATTCTTACTTTAGAGTTTGAAAAGTGAACATCAAATCAAATATTAAATACAATGTACAGTAACTGCTTAGCAATTGCACTTTTATTCATAGACATACACATACTATAAATGGAATGGAATAGTATTATAAATAATTGCAATTTACTGTACATAATGCAGAATTACTTTAACTCTAATATAATTACACTTTGGCTTTAAATTAATTGTGTAAAATCACTAATTGTCAGGTTAAAAACACAATGTATACAGTATGTGCAATACAGTGTAAATCCAGATATTGCACAGATACAGTGAACTGTATGAAAATAATCTATTTTGGAAATCTACAAAGTTTTTCATTTTGGAAGTTGACAGGAAAAGTTTATTGCTAAAAACAAACAGAACACGTCAACTGAACTTGGTGCAAACCAAAACTGCCTCAATGACTGAAAAAAAAATAATTTGTTAATCATATTTTAAAAGTCTCCTAAAAGAAATGCCAGAACTCCCTTATTTACATGTAAGTTTTCTGCATTAAACATTTTTGAGAAGTCTGTGAGGTGGTATGTTTTATTTATTTAGCGATAGCATCAATGAGCAGGAGTCACGTGTATTTTCATTTTCACCTTGTTTAGACCACAATAGAATTTCTAAAGTCTTTTGTTATGTTAAAAAAAAACATACTTTGCTTTTTAGTTCAGCCATGTGATCACAATGCAAGTTCTAACTTCAGAATTTATGCATACTATTATTATGTCATTTCTATGGATTTAGGATCAGAGACAAGGAACAGGAGTATTCTGCAGCACCCTGTATCTGTCCCAGGCAATCTAGGAGATGATGTGACTCTCAAGTGTACAATACAAACTGTAACCTGTGCAGGAGAACACAGTGTTTATTGGTTCAGATATGGCTCAGAAGAATCCCTTCCAGGAATAATTTACAGACCTGAAAACAGGAGAGATCAGTGTGAAAAGAGGTCTTGGGCTGGGCTTCCAACAAATAGTTGTGTTTATAATCTCCAAATAAGGAACCTCAGCCACTCTAATGCTGGGATTAACTACTGTGCTGTGGCAGCATGTGGGATCATTCTGTTTGGAAATGGGACATTTCTGGAAATAACAGGTAGTTTTCTAAATTAATTAAAGTTCTGTACCTTCAGGTAGTATCAATTGTTATCTATAAATTTGCAAAAAATACAAATTCAAAGTGATTGTATTATAAAATGTTAATTATGTAGGTTCTGGTACAGTTATTTTATTATACTATTATCACTACCACTGCTACTACCAAAAGAGTATTCCCATTTATTGATATTTAATTTGGGACACTGCCCTTATGGAATAAATGCTTATAAAGTATAACACATCAATTGTTGTGCTGTATACATTATCCTGATTCCAAAATGGGGAACAGTGTCTTTCTACGAATATAAAAACAGTTCATGAATACTGATGAATTATGTAGGGATGCAATGTTTTCTTTCCTCATTCATAACAAATAAAATATATTTTTCTGTTTTTAAAAAATATATGTAATTAATGTAATGTTTTCAACTACCAGTTTCTAAAAAATGTCTTTTTGGCCTCCAATTTACCAATTTAATGTATACTACAATTTAGAAGATTTGGTTACTCAAGAATGCCAGTTAATGCTGTTTTTATTAATATTTATTACATTGTTCAGCATTCAATAAAATGAAACATTGCAGTGCACAGGTGTTTTTTTTTCCTGTTTTATGTAAAAATATCTGGATTTTTTTTTTCATAGGAGTTGATCACCAAGTCTCACTTAACTATATCACTCTAGTTTTGTTGGCAACAAACATTGTGGCAGTGCTTGTAATCACATTCCTCACCTGCTGGCTGATAAAGAATCACAGAACAGGTGCGTTTTGGATTTACTTGTGCTTGATGAAATTAAAGTACAGTATGTAAATGTATTTCTCACAAAAGTCTAGTAAATCATAAGATTTGGTAGTGACATAGAACCTGCTAATGGGTTCAATTTGAACCTTATTTTAATGCAAAGAATTTTTGATTTCTTAAAAAGCTTATACATTGATAAAATATATACTGTACAGTATATGTTGTTTACCCATCCAATGTGGTAGTGCCAAAACTTTTAAGAGATTCATCTGCAGCAAATCGTTTTCTTGCTTATAAGAGAATGAAATAAAGTACATAGTAATGCTCCTCCATGTACACAATGAGTTGACATCTTGTAACCCTGACTCAAGAACACCTTACCAATTCTATTTAGCTTTTATGGTAAAAAAAATTATGGTCATCATGCATAGCAGATGATTTTTCTTCCAATGCTTTTTTCCTATGTTTTCTTTCTAAAGGTACACATCTTGGACTATCTTCCCATCAGCACATAAAACAAACCTAAAAAAACACACAGGTACAATATACATTTCTATATTATAAGCTCTATACAGTATATCAATAATTTGACATGTATTTGTAACTTTGCACTAACAATTGGAGAAAATCCAACATCAGAACGCTTCACAAAATAACAATGCATTTAAATTACACAAAATCAAACAATTATTTAACTCATTTGTCAACTCAGTTGGTTCCTTTTTCAGAACCAGGACACAGATGTGCTGAATTACGCTGCCTTGAGTTTCACTGACATTGATGTGAGGCCTGGGAGGAGGAGGACAGAGATAGACAGACAGGCTGTATATTCCCAGGTGAAATATGGTAAAAGCAGTGTGACTGAGTACTCTGAAGGTTATTCCTCTGGATTTCCCCTTTGAGGAACAGTTTTGATATGATCTACTGTAATTACCCTCTTCTTTCAAAATCATTAACTGATCAAAAAGCTTAGTCTATGATATAAAGGGGTTGGAGGAAGAAGACACATTTTTTAAATTACCTCCTTATTTAAAATAAATGAACTTTGATTTGTGATATTTCAATTTGAAAGTGTTATGAATAAAATGTTAAACTCTTCATTTTTTTTGTTGTTTTTATCAATGTTTAGGACTTGGAGGACATATTGTTGTCCTTACCACATTAAAAGAGCAATGAAATAGCTAGTGTAAAAGTGTCGGGTTATCGAGTACTGCCAGGGAGTGAGCGGTGTGCTGGTGTGTAGTCGTGTCGTAAGGCGATACTTCTTCGTTATACACGATGACGGGTTTTTCATTAAAGGGAAAGAATAATCCTTCCGTAGCTGTTTCGCTATTGTTCGTGTTCTGAGCTTGATCTTGTGGGGATCTTAAATAGCAAACCTGATGAGCCTCAGGTGCGGTAGCTGTGGATTTCCATGTGCAGTGGAGAAGGGAGTGTAGTGGGAGGTGTGTTCTACTGTCACACTCGTTAAACTCCTTAAGTTGCTATTTTATTGAAATCCAATGAGAGAATAAAAGCAAGTACTGTACACAGTATTGCTTTTATGATGCATTGTGAATGATCTATATTTTTACACTTCTTAAACTGTCAACAAAATGTTTTGACCTGCAAAACAGAATATCAGAAAAAAAATCATTATATCCCATAACAAGACAATACAAAAATATGGGAAATTAACACAGATAATCAGACCAAGAACATGAATATTTGTCATCAAGAAATAAATTATCAACATCCTTCATGAGTTCATGGCTGAAATTAATCAGCACCTCATGATTCTTTGCTCTCAAATTAGCTGGAAACTAAAATACATGATTTCCTACATACAATGTTAGTTTTGATGTCAAAAATAAAGCTTTTGTATGCCAAACTCTCCCATTGAATGCTGAAGGTTGACAAACTTATTCTGCTTGGAAAATTCAATGTCTGAATTGCAAGTGTTGGGTCTGTAATTTGACCATTGTTAAGGAAGAGGCTGGAAGTGTCAAGTCCTAAGTGTCAACTCCTATCTCTCCTTAACAAATGTACGAATCATGGAGTCCTCTTTATCAACATTCTGCTTCACCAGAAAACCAAACAGAAAACATCCAAGGACAACCATGATTAGACATTGTCACCTGATTGACATTGTCATTGTCCAGAAACCTAACCTTTGTGCATGAAGGATTTCATAGAATCTGGAACAAGATAATTCAAGGAATGCTGGGATGAAATTCTATTATCAATTAAGTAGTAACAGTAAAATATTTAGATGGGCTGAAAAGTTCTGTTTTATTTGCAGCTTTTCATAAGTTTATTTTTGATCTCATACACAGTTTTTCTCAAAAGCTGCTTTTTTTCTGGTGAGGGTGATTGCAATCAATAGGTGAGAAGCATAGGGGTAAGGATGGAATTAAACTCTAAGTGTGCTGACATTTCATCACAGTATACTCTCACAGTATACTCTCACAGACAATCCTCTTGGATTGTCAGGAAGAAAACAGACAATGTACTTAGTTTCACAGAGACATGGCTCACCCCAAACTCATTTGATCCTGCCATTCAGTCCGACATAAATGGAATATAGTTTATCCATATACCATATGGATCACAGAGAATTCTCCAGAAATGGAGAAAGGAGGTGGTACAGTATATGTTTTCTGATAATCATTTCTTGGTACTCAGATGTGGCAATCCTATCTCACTTCTGTTCCCCCGATCAGGAATACCTGATGGTGAAATGCTACCCTTTCTACTTACCAAAGGAATTTTCTTCAATCATCATGACTGCAGTTTACACATCACCACAAACCGACACCAAATCCACATTCAACAAACTATAGAATGTAATTAACAAACATAAAATCGCAAACCCTGATGCTACTGTATATCCATCTTAGCCAGGGATTTCAACCAGGCCAATTTTAAGAAAATACGTAAAAAATACTACCAGCATGTCTACTACCCCACTAGAGGTGCTAATACTCTCAACCACTGTTACACTACAATCAAGGATGCCTATCGCTCTTTCCCTCAATCAGACCACCCATCTGTGTTCCTACTTCCTATTTGCAAGCTGAAACTGAAGCATGAGAACCCATAGTGAGAACAGTACAATACTGGTCCAAAGAGACAGAAGACATACAGTACTGCAAGAGAACAAGGTTTATTCAGTGCTGAGACTGCTTTTGTAGTGGGCTAAAAATTAGACGTTTGAGTTAAAAAACCCCTCTTTTTTGTTTGTTTGTTTGTTTAAACTTTTTTTTTAATTACATGATAATACACACCATGAAAACTCCTAACAGGTTGAGAACAAGCTTAAATGCTGTTTTATAGTTTGTCCTGTAGATGAAGTTTGGCACTGGCAGTGATAAGAATTCTGCAGGTCTAGCAAGGTCAAAAGTCAAAGCAATTAAAGGCACCGGCAGAACATTTTGCACACTAATACGTGTCTGGTTTCCTTATCATTTTCCAGTTCACCCTGACTCAGATGCCCTTGTCTGAGATGGGGTAACAATTTGGAGGCTCATCCAGGATTAGCGCCAACAAATTAATTGGTGCTAATAATTGAAGAACTGCCGGAACCTGACTGCAAGTTTCTGAGACCAACAAGCTAATAAACGGACATCAGTTATTCAGTCATGGCTATACTACAAAAGCTATGATGGGACATGCAACTTGCAGTGTCTTGCCAGGAAGAGGTGGGAGAGGATTTGCCAAGTATGGGTGTGACAGAAGTGGAACTCTTTGACTTCCTTGTTGACTTCTTGAGAAGTGAACAACTGCAGAGTCTGAAGGACCAAGGGATGGCCCGCTCGCTTGCTTGTCTTCTGTGACCTCATTGGTGAACTATAAGCACCAAATACAGACACTGTGCACCATGGAAAAGAGAACACAGTGCCAGTGGTGATGATAGAGCCTGTGGTTTTGCCACCAGCATAGAGCATACAGGTAGAGCCAACACCAGTAGTTGCAGCATCCTTTCAGACTGGTCAGACCACTGTCACTGTCACTGTCAGAGGTAGCTGAACAGGAACCTGGTGTGATAAAATGCTCAGATGTTGTATCATAGTTGCCCTGTCGAGAATTTAAGATACATGGAGGTCACATTTCTGAAAGCAGCGAGTTTTGTTCGCTTCACATCAAAGTGGGTCTCAGTATCAGTATGACAGCAAATTACTCCAAGGCACTTTTTCTTCATTCCCTATATCAGAGCCTGACTAAAAAATGTGCCTATGGAGAGACATTAAATCTGTCATATCGAACTCGAGTATTACTGATGACTTTATCCTAGAGCTGATAACCCAGTCAGTAAGTGAGGAGGCTGAGAGACAAAAGCATCTAGGTCAGACACATTAACCCAAAGTAGCCAGAGCTAGTTGAATACAGCAGGATGATGGTAATGGACAAAGTGATCTTCAGACTCAAGTGGAAGTTAAAACCAATTGTGCCACTATACATGAAATGACTGCACAAGTGTCTGCCTTGGCTAAGATTCTAGAGAAAGTCGCCACTCCAATTGGAAGTAGGGCTCAACAACACACCCTTGCAGCTTCATCAAGCAGCTAGCCAACAAAACAGCCTTTGAAACAAAGGGAAAATGCAAGCAGTGTGTATCCCAGAGCAATGACAGTTGCACTCACTGTTTCAGATGTGATCAAACAGGTCACAGAACAGTTGGCTGTTTCCTGAAGAACCCTCAAGTGTTAAACGTGGTGGGGTTACTGGGGAGGGACCGCCAGTGACCGCTGTGCACCATATATCCCAAGCTATTGTAAACTACCTCAAGAAAGAAACACCAGCAGCAGAAAGACCACACAGACAAGACCATATAAGTAAAAATAAATGTGTTGCCCAGTTAATTGGCAGTAGGTGTATGGTAACTTGTCACTTAAATGGAGTCAAAATTCAGATGCACTTAGCAGAGCTCAGGTTAACATAGTAAACATATACTATGTACTTTAGAGATTTCAGCTTACTATACAGGTAACCTTGTTCTAAGGGGTTACTGAGAATTTATATGATCTAAGCAAGTATTAAGTTTAATTTTAGTCATCATAAGCCGGACTTTATGAACAATATAGAACTAAAGGAGGGAAGGGGATAATTAAAATTGAGATGGAAAACCTCAAAGTTAAAACACGTTTCTGAAATATTGGTGGAGCAGTATGGAGGAACTTTTCTGTTTGGACACATATTTTGTAAACAAAAGCCCTGGTATGCTGAAAAGGGACAGTAGTAGGTCTTGTTAAATTGTTAAAAGATGTTAAACTAATGTCCTGACTGCTTGGGCATTACACTGCATCTCCTGGTTAAATTTTGCTCTGGACCTGCATCAATTTATCTTCATTTTAACTAAATATAGGGTTAAAGAGAAGCTAAATCTGATATCTAAAATATATCATAATGGGTGGCATGGTGGACCAGCCATTAGTATTGTTATCTCTCAATGCTGGGCTCCTACTGTAGGTTCAATTCTGGACCTGTGATGCCGCCTGATGTGAGTGTATGTCTTTGTTTGTATCTGTCTGTAGGGGTTTTGTGAATTTACTGGGACAATTTATTAATTGTAGAAGCAATCACGGGGTGGTCCGTTAATGGATTTTAGAAAACCAATCGATCAGCGATGCACACACACAGATTCAATAAATTAAATACATTTATTAATACATAAATTATGAATAAAACATATAACAGTCTGCCTGGATACAGTTGGCAGATCTTACTATGAGGGTTATCAAAGTGCGAGGTATATAATCATGAAGAGATGCAAAACTCAAAGAGATACAAATAATATGCTTCAGTATACAGCTATACTATCATTAATCAGTCTACATTAGCTACTCAAAAGTAAATACAGATGCAGCCATTCAAAATGCGCGGGCGATACTGCATTATTTTCCGGTACGCTGTACGCAGTCTACCGCAAGCTACTGGTAAATACCGCGAGTTACCGGTAAATACCGCGAGTTACCGTAAATTCTCCTATAATACGACAAGCAAAATAATAGTATCCGGAATTTCCGCAAGGTGGAGCTAATAAAGCTCA